GAGGTATTTGTTCAAATGCCATTGGTGTGATAGAATCTGTTACTATGGAATCTGATTTCAGCCATTCTGTCTCAGTGTTGTGGTGAACCGGTATGGACCAAAAACCAGACCAGAAGCTATGTAATTCATTGGCGGGTGGTAATGGTGCATCTTGTCTATTTCTATGTGTCTCGTGTTGTGTGTCTGAAGTCAGGCTCCTATAAAATTGTTTTTCATTATTGATAAACTGACTACTTTGTGACTTCCTTAGTGTGCGGTTAAGGTATCTTTTTAACCTGCTAGATGCCGCATTCAGTTTTTGTTTAAGTGTGTCAAGGAATTGTTCATCGCTTAAATTGGGTTCTTCGTGCTGGGAATGTATTCGGTATTTATTTTTTATTGCTTCCACTGAAGTGATGTCTATTGCTTCTATTGCCTTTGGTATATTCTGTTAGCCTTCCAATGTCTCTTCTGAAATCCAATATCTTTTTTTGCAACCTTTTCTGCCAGGCAGGTTCTTTATTTCGACTTTGGGTAGGTGTTGTGTTTGTGTCTCTGATTTTGGTTCCGTTAATTATAACTACTGTGTACGCCACGCAGTAAATTATGGTCTGAGTGGTCTCAAAATCCTGCTCCCTCGATATGTGATTTGGTAATATTTTAGTGTTTATAAAATCTACAATTTGTGCTAGTCTTTTAGAAGTTTTTTGTTTTGGTATATAAGGTCGTTTAGTTGGGTTGGTATTTCGAAATTTGTCTATTGATATTCTGAACAGTTCCTGGATTTTTTCGCGTCGTTATTTTCTATTGCTTGGTTTTTTTTTTTTGAGGTTCAGAGGCTTGAATGGATATCACTGATTCGTCAGGTTGAGATTGTAAGATTAAGCTAAGTGTATGCACGGGAGTGTTACTTTCTATAATGAATGGATGAATGTCGACTTCTTGTGAGTTTTCCGTTTCGGGTGTAAGGATCGTGTGTTGTGATGTGATAAGTGATGAATTATTTTCCATATTGTCTCGTCGGGAATTCAGGTTGCTTGATATATTGTCACATCTGTATCTTTTGAAGTGTTTGGTCATTAATCATTTTATTGTTCAATATTACTCTGAGCTGATCTGATATTTGTTGTTCACTTACACCTGTTAACTCAAGATGTTCTTCTATGACTGCTTGATGGAGGGGTCTACGGTAAGCTGATTTATTTTCTCCAAGTTTGGTGATTTTATAGTAATTTCTATAAGGTATGTGCGCCAGATGAATTTATTCATTTCTACTGTCCATCTTTTGCGCACACGATTTCTGTCTAGGGCGGGTGCAGGTTCAGTGGCGACAGCCTCCTGCACAATGTCCTCAGACATGGGTGATACAGAGTCTGATCTCGTTGAAGTCTGGTATGAACGTGGACATGAAATAGATGACTCGAATGAATAAAAAGGTGAGGGTGTTGATGAGATTATATCGCTTAGCATGTCGGAGTCCGTATGTGTCGCTTGGGTCGTTCGACGGGTTGCTTTCGTCGCTCGGGGATTCTTCGCACCCCTAGGCCCAGTCTCAGGCTGGCTTTCGTCATAACCATTGCTGCTACTGAGTCCGCCGAGCACTTGGGGCCTTTTACTTCTTGTTAATACCATAATTATTCTCCATTTAGGTTTGGGTGTGGGCCGTTAGTTGGGGAGGGTTAGCGAAGATGTTAGTGGTTAATAAAATGTACCTCCAGTATCGGTAAATACAGGGTATGGTCAAGTTCGTAGTGACCGCTGTTAGGTTCATGCCTCCCCTTAAGCCCCCCCACCACGTCAAGGTGGTCCCCTGGGGGGGGGTCAAGGTGGTCCCCGGGGGGGTTATTACTATTATTATTATTATTTGTATTTATATAATTTTCTCATCTGGTTGGGTTCTATAAATATATAATTATAAATTAAAACGAAAAGATAAATATACATAAATATCAATAAAATAAAATAAATACAAAAAATACATAAATAAATAAGATCCAACCAGATGGAAACCCTCGGCAGGGGAGACCAAATGGCCGAGGGTTAGGGAGAAAGGGAAAGAAACCGGCGGAAGATGCGGGCGATATCGAGGAGCACCGCCTTCTACATTTGAGCCCGGAGCGGTCCGTCACGGAGTCCCAGTCGCCTCAGATGACCCGAGAGGCTGACTGGGATTAGCCCATTCGCAGAGACAACTACAGGAACAATTTTGGCTGGCATACTACCCGACATGTCGGTCACCTCGTGAGCCAGATCCAGATATTTTGTTCGTTTATCTGTTTCGGCTTTCACGAGGTTCACATCATACGGAATGGTAATGTCGACCAAAAATATCCTTGACTGTGCCCGGTCCATCAGCACAATATCAGGCTTATTCGAAAGAATAGTCCTGTCTGTGATGATGGCCTGGTCCCAGTAGAGCCTGGCGCGGTCATTTTCGAGCACGGCTGCCGGCAAGTACTTGTAATACGGCAATTTTCGGTCCACGATACCGTATTTCAGAGCGAATTGGTGGTGTAGAATTCTGGCTACTAGGTTGTGCCTGTGCAAGTACTCCGAGTTAGAAAGCGCCGAACAACCGGAAACGACATGCCTAAGTGACTCCCCGGGATGGCGACAAGCTCGACAGTGCCGTCCTTTAGGTTCCTCCGATAGTTATTGGTCTTAATAACCTGATCCTGTATTGCACAGACAAAACCCTCGGTTTCCCCGAAGAGGTCAACGAAACGTAGCCAGTTGAGGGAGGCGGCTGTATCTACGTGGGGCTCATGTAGAGCCCTGTAGTACCTCCCGTGGAGCTCTTTCTCTTCCATACGGTCTCCCGGTCGGAAATGCTATTGTTACGAGCTTGAGGTTCGGGACAATAAAAATTGCCGATAGAATTACCAAAATTTATATACCAAAATACTTTAATCCACTTTACACTAATTAAACTTAAAACACTAGTAATTAATCACACTGATTCACTTTATTTCGCTCCGAAGCTTCGCTTGTCTCGCCAAATTCAATACTTCCCCGATCGCATCTTGCAGCGCCTATAAATACACATTAGCACCGAAACATCCAGAATATTTAAGTAAATACGCGCACCAATCGACAAGGCGTCGAAAGTTCGAGTATCGGCTTCTAGAAGCTTAGTTCTTCGTTTCGATACTAGATGGCGCTGTCGGTTATAAGACTAATGTCATTTTCAGGAAAGCTCCCCTCGCTCTCGTCCCCGACACTAGATGGCGCTAGTGCCGGGTACATGACGTCAACTTAGGCGCGCAACACTATGTACTGCCGGGTCTTGCCATTGCTCGTTGGCTAAGGATAGAGGGGTGTCCTTTATCACTAGAAATGACGTCATTCTAGAATGGATCATCCGATCTCGCCAGGAAGTAATGACGGAGACTGCACACTTCGCGATTATGCATGCTGAGCGCGTTCAGGAAGCCACGCTCACCATGCTTTCGCAGCAAGTACAGCCTCATTACCGACGATCTCGGATGATGCATCCTATGGGACGTCAATGTAGTGCGAACTTTTCTATTCAGGGCGTTAAGTTCAGTCTGACTCCACCTGACTATGCCAAAGGTATACATGACAGGCATGACACAACCTTTATATGCATGTGTCTTATTCACACCGGACAAAAGGCTGTTAAGCACTTTGGTCAAGCGTGCATTCAACACGTCGCAAACTGACTGTTACATACCAGCCTCATCGGTACCGATGTTCTGTGACATACCCAGGAATCGGTATGTTTCAGCCTCGGAAGGGGTCCTTAAGTTGACGGGCATAGATAAGTCTATGCCCTCAGAGTTAGCAACCCTTCCCCTTTCAACATAGAGGACCGCACACTTATCCGTCCCCAGCTCCCCATTCTAATAGAATTGCTAAATTCACAAGTGATGTTTAGCAATTCCATAAGATGGGAGCGAGTGGAGGCGAATAATTTTAGGTCATCCATATAGAAAAGGTGCTTCACTTTTGTACCTCCTTTCCGAAGCTGAAATCCCCTCCCGGAGCCCTCCAGTAAAGTACTGAGAGGGTTCAAAGAGAGGCAGAACCAGATTGGACTCAGACAGTCGCCCTGGAATATACCCCTTCTTATCCTTATGCGGCATTCCGCAGCCGTCATCCATTATATCATTACACTGCTCGAGGAAGTCCCGAACTGTACAGTCAATCTTGTACAACTCGAGGACCCTCTTTAGTCATGTATGGGGCACCGAGTCAAATGCCTTTCGGTAGTCTATCCAGGCGGCGGAGAAGTACCGACGGTTGCGTTTCACCACTTTGCCAATGACCGCGTCAATGAGGAGTGGTTCCTTGGTTTCACGACCGCCGCCCCGACATCCATTTTGAGCGCGTGACATCACCTGATTTGAGTCCAGGTGACGAGTGATTCTCGCGCTCAAAACGGATGTTAGTGTCTTGTATATGGTCGGTAGACATGTGATGGGGCGGTATTTGCTCGGGTCTGTGGCACCCTGAACTTCAGGAACCAAATGAGTGATCCCAGTAGTGAAGAGGCTTGGGAGCGACTTCTGGTTGAGAGCCTCTTGAAACTGTCGGGCGAGCACAGCGTGACACACCATGAACCCCTTCAGCCAGGAGTGATGCAGCCCGTCAAGCCCCGGACTTTTCCAGTTCGGGGCCCTACGGACCGCCTCAGCTACGTCATCCGGCATTATGATGACGGGGTCCATGGGCGTAATACCCGCACACTGACTCGCCACAACTTCCGTCCAAGGGCCCTCGTTGTGGTTTACGGGCTCTGATCACAGGCTGCGCCAGAATACGACCATGTCGGCCTGATTTGGTGCTGGATCCGTTCCACTTACCATTGGTCGCTCCAATGATTTATAGAGCCTCTTCTGATCTCTCTGGAAGAGACGATTCTGGTCGACTTCTCGGTATATCGCCGGATCCGCTTTCCCCAAGCAGCGATTCTTTGCTTCAGACCGTCTATGCGCTCCGTCAGTTTTTGCATTATATCCGGCTGGGATAAACTAACATTTGTCCCAGCAAACGCCATCCTAACGGTGCGCACAATCTTTGGCCTGGTATTGCCTGACCTGGCCTATAATATGGCAGACTGCCAGTGCGGCGCCAAAAAGAATTGAGTCCGTCTCACAAAGGTCCCGGCTGGCTTCCAAATAGGTAACCAGCATTGGGTTCAGAGCCCTCACGACAGCCCGATTCCGCTTGCTTAGGGCTATGCGGGGAAGTCTCGGTCGATTTTCGAGAGGCGTACTGCGCGTTTTCACAATCGCCTCTTCCAATATACTCCCCATTTGCTCTAGTTCCAGTTCCTGGGCGACTGTTCCATCATTGTTTGAATCAACCACAACTGGGGTATTCACGGCGGCATCCACGTTTGCCGTTTGCTCAGCAAGTTGTGGCGCCGCATCCTCAGCCGCAGCATTTTCACTCGATAAAGGAACAGTCTCACGTCGTAGCCGTTCGAGTTCGGCGTCATCTAATATATTTGAGCGCAAGATATACCGAACTCAGTCTGCCAGGTTTTGCTCGGTGACGGTTACAGATTGATCTAGCTCAGCAAAAAGTCGATGCATCCTTGCCCGATACGCAAAACCTCCAGTTTCTCCCCCCTTTCGCCCTAAAATACGCCCGCAATGCATTGCTGTTAATCTGGGTTGTTCAACGCATGCGGCGTACTCCACTAGTGGTGGGTGCCGATTGCTGGGCCCGCGAAGACCCTGCCGACACCAAGCCAGCTGGTGGGAATGATGGGTGCGAGGGGCTGCTGGTGTCGCATCGCGGCCGGCGTGTGCGCGGCGCCACCCAACGCGCCCTAACGACCTACAGGCAGCGGCCCTTTGCGCGTTCTATTTAATTCCATCATCCATTTTTGAGGGCGTCATTTAGCGGGAGACGCCCAGACCCGGCGCCGTTTCATAGTGATGCCATGTGCACAAGCGGGTCTTTGCACCTTCAATTTTTGCCGAGGCATGGCACTAACACCTCTTGGCAAGGTGCTGACTAACTGCGCTGACGTAGCGGTTTTGTCACATAACCGTTACGTCAGCGGGCGATGGGGTCGTCACTTCCCTACGCCTTATTATTATTATTATTAATAGTCTTTTCTAAGCTAAGCCACTTTGGTTTACCATCTTCGGTTCAGGTACCTGGCTTATAGTAGTTAAAAATGGGAAGTCCGCATTGTTGGACTAAAGTTTTTTGCAACTTACGCAAAATTCTTATATTTTTTTTAATCTCTAAATAAAAGTAGCCATACAAACACTTTATCCGTGTGGTATTCAAACCCGCGACTTTAACTTTGCACCTACATGGTTAGTCTCGCGCTACCGAGCCGACATTGCAATATTTAAATGTTCTAACGTGATACTTGGCAGTTTTCATAAACCGTTTAACAGAAATGGATATAGTTGGAATGGTAAACTCAATGGATATTGTAAAAAAAGTGCCGGATTTTTACCACGCAATTCTGAGGTCTGAATTATTCAGCTATCCAAAAATTTGCTTTTAGCGAGCCCCTTGTCTCGATTTTGTAGTGGCTGCGAGAAGGGTGTCATAATTACTTCTCGCTCTGTTATCACGAACGATTAAAGCCTACATTCTACGTCACAGAATAAATAATAGTACGGTCTACGTTTTCAAGTAGTTCTCGCTAACTTGAATGTCTTATAAGTTTGACTGTATAAATACTCATTAATTTAAAAAAATGATAAAATTTAAAAATGATTTCTTATATTTATGCGAACACTATACATGATTAAAACTACTTTTACGGATTTTATCGCACCCATGGTCCCCCGTGACCATGGGTGCTGGAAAGCGCCCGAAATGTCGGGAATTAAAAATAAAAGTAAATAAAAAGTAAAAATAAACGCGATAAAATCCGTAAAAGTAGTTCAAATTTAAAAATAATATGCAAGCAGGGTTGGATTAATAAACTACTTCAGTCAACTACTCGTAAAATAGTTTTAGTAATCTAAAGTAATTTACTAATCCGTCCCTGCGGTCTGATGGCCCTATAACTTGAGGAGCGGATAATCGATAAGGAAGAAACTTTATCAAGTGGTAAGCATGTACCACAAGCGGTGTGAGGTGGCTCCCAAATAGATCGAGTGACGATCAGCAGTGGGATTGTGGAAGGACGAGTTCTACATGCAAGCAGATTGTGTGGTGATGGGCTCACCAGTATCTCCTATCGTCGCCAACATATTTATGGAATACTTTGAGGAGAAAGCCTTAGATTCTACAAGCGGTACGTAGACGACACTTTCACAATTCTACCTTTAGATAAATTAACTGCATTTCAGACCGCCTTAACCATTGATTTATATATTAGACTAGATTAGTATTTGATGCACCAAAGCGTTGCCACTGCACATATGGCCACAGCCATATGCCTATCTAACGTCAGTTCAGTGTTCAGTGTGACGCCGACAGAGTTGAGCCGAACGATCCGCGACAAAAAAATGGGTAAATACGTACTGAAAGAATGCGATTCAAGGCCATAAAAACATAATAAATGAAGCGGAATCACTTTTCACACATAAGTTTTAGTTCATGTTTTCATATTAAAAAAATCCTCCTCAAAAATTAATTAAAATTATCGAATATTGCAATTTAGGTTCGATGTTGCCACTTTTCCGCTTTTGTGATTATCCCACGTAAATGGGAGACTATATTGTAATTTATGGAATAAGTTAATTTGTTACCTATGGTTTTAAATATTTTGGAAATAATAATAAAAACTACGTTTTAACTTTCATACAAAATAATTAATTATTCTTGTTTTAGTTTATTGAATGATCTATTAATTATATTTTGTTACCTATTTTATATTGTTTGATTTATTAGTACAATAAAAAATACTTATAAAAATATCTTTTATTTCATCAGTTTTGCTAACTTTTATTCACCTGATAAGAAAATATACTTTTTAAAATAAAAACAATTAACTGCATCTTAAAAAAAATTATTTTTATTGCGTATTTTGGGTAAAATTTTCCAAATTTCCAAAATATTAAAACCACACCAATCCGCCATTGCACATTTGTTTGTCTATATTTATCTAATCTTAGCGACGGTATTGTTTTCGTAAATTGTGTAAGTGAGACAGATACGAGTATATGTTATTTATTATGTATTTAAAATGTTTAGTAATTTCAAAGCTACTAGTACTATTATTTATTCTGTGAAGCTATGTCGTCGCGGTTGGATAGTGGTTACACTTTTTTCGATGCGCGAAATGTGGTTTGCTCCTCTAGTTTTGTATAACTCAATGGCCTTAACTCCATAAATTCTAAAATTCAGTTCACAATGGAGTTAGAGGCAAATAACTCTTCAGCTTTTCTAGATGTGTTAGTAATTCTGAATCCTGATAACATCTTGAGCTTTTGACACTGGTATAGAAAAAAGACTTATACAGATAGATATTTAAACGGTGATTCTCACTACCATCCTTCACAGTTACCTGTCGTAGGTGAATCTTTGTTTCTGAGAGCACGATATGTGTCTATAAATACCTGGCTGCCGAGCTCCAACACGTCAAGCAAGTTTTCCATGACAACAAGCTTCGGGTCTCGCGCCTACGTCACAGTGAACGAGGGAAGCCGGTCAGAGTCAAGCGTGTGCCTGCTGTACACAGAACACTATTAATCCTATTGGAGAAGAACGACAATTTCAAACAAAATATAAGAAATGTGATATATATACCCACTAGCACCATCTATCGTCAGCCTACCTGCACTCGTCTCGTGGTGGGAAAATTTGAACGTGGTCTTATTTTGGATTTTTTATTTGAGATATTTTTGGGTTGCGCTAAATAAAAGAACTAAAATTACAAAATTCTTTATTTATTCAAAATAAAAATACAAATTAAAATTAAAAAAACATACATAACTTAAGACAAAATTTCTCTAGCAGCTTCTTTCTTTCTATAAAGACATTTGAATGAAAAGAAAATCAATATTAATTACAATATTTCAATTAATTATGTAACATAATATATAAGATTTACAATCATGAATGAATTGATAATATACACAATCACAAATCACAGAATGTCTACAATAACCAAAATATCAATATTTTAATCAAAAACAAGTTAAATAATAAATAAGCTCCTACACACAAGTACAAAGTGCAGTATCCACAAATAATAATTTTGTTTTAGTAATATTTGGTTGTCTATCTATATGCCTGAATTAACACTAAAAATGTTGTCTCTATATTATATGCCATATATTAGGTATTAAATGCAGCTTACAAATAGAATAATTATAATTCAAAATTATAAAACATATTAAATATTAGATTAGAAAAATTTTCCTTATGTAATTTTAAAATTTTTCATATAGAGTACTTTCTTTTTCAGGTTCAACATTATCTAATATGCTTTGATATGTTTGTAGTTGTTCTTCAGTGGATATAATGTTGACCTCCTAGTGTTGTTCTTTTTGAAGATCCTGTTTGTGATTTGGAGCAATAATTTGTGAGGGACCAGCTTGTGATTCCACAAAATAAAATGGGAATACACTTTGTCAGTCTGGAAATAAATAAAAACTGAAATAAATTATAGTATAATAAACATATTATATAAAATTAAATTAACATTATATTCATTGACATTACTTTCATAGTAAACCAGTCCCTACTCATGGCACTACATTACCCTTCTACCAATACAAAATAAATGAATGGATCTTGTTCATTCAACTTGCTCTAGAATACACCTACTGTTACACCTAATATGACAAAATAAGATATTAAGTACAATAACAATGTGAAGAAAAAAGAAGTCTTGTGTTTATCTATTATTTGAGAACCATTTGATGCATGTATATTTCTACTGTGTTGTACAAGTTGTGCCTTTAAATTTTATAGGTTTGGAACAAAATCTAATTATTCATAGAATGTGATGCCTGAACTTTCTTAAAGTTTTTCGTTGTTTTTAAAAAATTATTTGATTGTTTAAAATAATATGCAGTGTTGCACTTTTATTAATGTAAATAAGGGCTTGTGCTAACTTTATAAACTTCAATCCTTTGGATGCCTTGTCTTATACAATTATTATAAATTGGTTGAAGGCATTAACAGGATTCAAACTACTGTATGTGTTATGTCCATCCATATTAGATCCAGATGATGGTCATCTGAATAATCATTATCATCATCATTACAGTCTATCAAAGTCCACTCCTGAATATAGGAATCCCCATGTAAAATATCTGAGTAATCCTTTAATAAAACTATCTACATCTACACATTATACATTTTACTTACATCACATGGAACTGCAGTTCTTAAGAACTTTTTCTTGGTTACATCATTATATTAACCATCGTGAAAATGTTTTTCACACAGCATTCTGGGCTCATTATGTACCTTTGTCTGGATAGCTTAAGTAGTATCCCGTCAGGGTAAATGTGTTCTGTGAGTAGTATACTGCTCTTATGAAGGAATATCATATTTCGCCCACAATTTACAGCTGAAAACAAAAATA